CCCCAAAGGGCCCTCTGAACCCTGAAACTCTAGGGTTTTACAGCTCACCAACAGAGGCATCTGTTCTTGTTTCAAAACACAGTGAGACCTGGGGAAAGAATAAGCACCAGGGCTGGGCTCCCTCGTCCCCCTAGTCCCAAGCTGGCACTGACTCCTTCCCATTGCTCCTTTGGCACTACCCACTTCCTCCCGGCCACCCCCTGGCTTCACTGATCCTCTAGACTCTGCTCCACCGCCACCCTGCCCCTGGTGGCCTCCAGCTTCAAGCCCTGACAGTGCCCTGGCCCTCCCCCATCCGCTCCTCTGATCTCCAGCCCTGGCTGCCCCCCTCCCCAGCTGGCACTGCATCTTTCAGCCACTGTCTGCCAAGCCTGGGCATCGCCCACTCTCCATGCCTGGGCACCGGGGTTTGGCTTTTGCCTCCCCAAAACTTCAAGCCTCAACACTGCCCTCGCCCACCTGCCCCCTGGGCGCCAGAGACTTGCTGACTCCTGCGGAAATCAGCATGGTCATCCCCCTGCCTCAGGGCCAATCAGTGCCTCCAGCAACTCTGATGGCAGGGCCACTGTCGCCCTTTCGGGTCCTCAAAGGAGTCTCTCCCAGGGTGACAACTCTATTTACTCTTTGGGGAGAGATGAGGACAGCTTCACTGTATCGTCATTAGCAACAGCAAAGACCCACTGTGCTCCCTCACAAGTCTCAAAGGAGGTGGGGGCCCAGACACAGTGGGAAATCCTCAGGGGGGCCCCTGGCTGGTAGTGGGGTTTTAGAGCTCTCCATCAGGACTCTCAGCAGGAAAACTGAAGCAGACCCTCTGCCTGTGGGCCCCGAACACTGGCGGGCACTCTCCTACCCCGGGGCATCCCAGCTCCTGCCCCAGCCCTGACTTCACTGCAGGACTTGCTGCCTCATTTCACACTGCTGACTTTCCCTCTTTCTTAAAACCCCTCTCCCCCAGGGTTTTTCAGATTTCTCTTCTAGTCTTCCTTTTTCAAAATGCATTAATTATATCAGGCACATAAAAATATCTAGATGATAGTAGAGCAAGCCTGAATGCTCATTACCCAGCTTAAGAAAGGAATCAAGGTAAGTTCTCTCCTGAATTTACCAATTATTCCCATGAGTATCATATACATTCACCACATGTGTCTGTATCCTTTTATAATATGGATATATGTTGTTCATGGTTTTCAATTCTACAGAGATGTAATCATACTGTAGTTATTCTGCTGCAAATTGCTTTTTTGCTCAACATTTTATGAGTTTTGTCCACACCGATACACACAATCATTCATCCATTTTCATTGCTGTGTAGTATTCCACTGCCATGCCTGATTTATCCATTCTCCTGTTGGTGGACATTTAGGATACTTCTTATCTTGTTTTAAACTGTGAAAGTAATACATACACATATTCTCATTGTAAAATTTTTAAATAATATAGGATATTGAATAGATGACAGAAACCTCCCTCTACCTACCGCCATCTCCGAAGTAGCCTGTGTATTCTGCAGTCCTTTTTCTAGGCGTTAACACAGACGTGTCCGTTTATATACAAAAATATCTTTTCTCAGCACCTCCCACCTCCAGGTCTGCACCTCTCCTCTCTCCTGATGTGCCCATCCTTCCAATTTCTCCTTTTCAATCTCTCTCACTCCACCCTATTATCCATCACCTGCCTCCTAAATATTGAGGCTGCTCAGCTTTCCAGCTTCAGCCCTTTTATTCTCAACTCCCCTGGGCTATCTTGAGTCCCCTACCTTCCCCAGCCTGCTACACTGACCTTAAAGCTCCACCACCTCGTCCCCTGACCTCCGAGCACCTCCCGGTCCACCCCTTGGACAGTCACAGACATTTCAAACTGTCAGATTGTCCAAATTGACACTCACCAGCTCCTCCCCACCCTCTGGGAGTCTGCTCTTCTTCCTCTTCATCCCAGGCCTCCCTCTCTCTGTCCCTCCAGATCTCAGACCTGCTGTCACCCTCTGCAGTGACATCAACCCTGCCTCTTCTCCCCAGCCTCAGGCCCACCATGTCTCCTCTCGACTATCACAATTACCTCCTCAAAGGCTTTCCTGTCTCCAGCTCCGCCCCACTTCCAGCCCCTCCTCCTCATCACCTTGTTGAGGGGAGGAGGGTTTGGGAAACCATGAAGGGATAAAAACCAAAATCCCACATAACTCCTAAAACCTTGAGTGACTCCCCCGTGTCTGCTGGATAAAATCCACACTCCCCAGGCCGGCATTCAAGGCTCATCTCTCCCTCTCTAATTCCTAGGCACAGGCTTTTGCTGAACTCAGCATTCCTCCGGGAGCTCCGTCAGCCCAGGTGTTCCAGACAGGGTCAGGGAGAGCAGGGTGGGGGCTCACTCCTGAGCCGCATGCCGAGCCCCAGCCAGCCAAGTTACCCAACCCGTGGGTGCTGTCTGCGAGTGGCTGGCTCCGGAGTCCTCCCCGACACAAGAAACAAACTGTTCTGCAGACAGTGGGGTCTGGAGGCTCCAGTTGGTAGACAAAGGACAGTGCATTATAATTATATTTTCAATTAGCCGGTCGCTTTTCTCCCACACTAGCTAACCAAGATCCAGGAAGGAAAGGCCCATCTGAATCATGAGCTTGTCTTCTCCTGCTAATGGGGTCAGACTCTGGGTGCCTTTATTGTACATAGGCTCGGAGAGAAGCAAGCACTCAGAAGAGACATTTCTTCACGGTCACGTTGGAGGCAGGGGAGGGCCAGAACCCACATCCCCCAAAACGGGGCTTTGCATGCTTCCCTCAGCCCTCAGGCCTGAAGCCTCTGACCCCTACCTACAAGGTCCAGCACACTGAACCTTGTCTAAGAGACCTGGCTGCAGGGAGCTCCTAGTCTGACAGGAAAGACCCAGTTTCTGTCCTTAGAAACTCTCACCCTGATGGCAAAATATCAGAGAATGCCTAAAATGACTTTCCTTAATCTGGGCTTTCCCGTAAAATATGGATGAGTGCTATTGTTTAATTATACTATTAATAGCGATAATAATTGGTACCGTTTATTAAGACCCACAGTGTGCCAGAGGCTGCATGAAGTTCTCTTATGCATTGTCTCATTCAAATGTCTCAAAGACCTTTTGAAGTGAGTATATTATTATCCCCATCTTATGGATAAGGTAAGTGAAGTTCAGAAAGGTTAAATAACTTGCCCAAGGTCACACAGATGGTAAGTGCTGGGGTCAGAATTGAAATGTGGAGTCTCATTCTTAACGACTCTGCTGTGCACTGCTTCTACTCTTGATTGAAATCCTTGAGGACAAATACCCCTAACTGTGCACGCTTGTCTTTCCTTATAGAGCCTAATTGCAAAAAAGACGTGGGTGAGCGGGTCCCAGGATGCTTTGGAGAAGGGTGATGGAGAAGGAAGGGAGACAGGCAGAGAAGCTCCCGGGGCCTGGGCCCCTGGCCAGAATGCGCCTTTGATGGTGGGGGAGGTGCCTGATGACAAGGGCAACATTAGCGACTGTTTTGAATCATTCTTAGGACTCTGAGAATTTCTTTCTGAAACTGGGCAGTACCTTCAGGCCCTTCCAGAGACACTAGGGGCACAGCTGAGAGGCTAGGAAAGCCAAAAGCAAGGCAGGCTTGGGCCCCATTGTCTGCCATGACTGTGGGCAGAGCACTCTGCCCACACAACCCCTGGGCACAGAGGGCAATGGCTGTTTGCTCCATCTGTGCTCTGGGGGTAGAGACCTGCTTTTCCAAAGCTGAAGTGTTCTGTCTGGGACAAGTGTCCAAAGTGTACCCACGCTATAAATGTGGGTAAAGGGAGTCCAGGATTCTTCATTTCTCCCCAAATGCCCCTGCCAAGGCACTTTTCACCCTCCTTAAAATAGAATGCTTGGTCTGATTCTTTTACCCCTGTTCTGAGGCAGCTCCCATGTTGTAAGGTGCTCCATAAATCCAGAGTCAATGGATGAATACATGAATGTAACCTCAAAGACTTGGGGGAGAATTGCCTTTTTCAGAGGTCTTAAGCCATTGCAGCTACAAGTACAGGGTGCAGACTATTGTCCCAATCAGGCACTCCAAGCGACTTTTACCCACTACCCTCCCCAGCCATTGGAAGGACCGCGCTGCCCGCCTCGAGGAGACTCCCCCCCCTCCCTCTGGCGGCCCAACACCTCCTTTACCTCCTGTCCCTCTATCTAAGGGACAGGCCGTCGAGTCCAGCTCTTGCCCCGCCTGGATCCGCCAACTCGGCGTTCTAGAGCGGAGATCAGGATTGAGAAGAAGCTTCCACATGGGGGCGCTGAAACGGCGCGGGAAAGCCTGAAGCAGGGCCCCCGCGGCGTCCTCTAGGGTGGCGGAACCCAGATCGCCAGCTGGCCCGCGGCGACCCCTCGCTGGAGCCCCTCCCTCCGGCCTCCCCTCCCAGCTCCGCTTCTTTCTGTCACCCGCCACGACACCCCTCTCCCGTTCCCGTTTGCGTTCTCGGTCAAGGTGAAGAACCTCGCAGGTGGGAGTCAGATCAGGCTCGAATCCCGCCTCTGCAGCTCCGCAGCTGGCGGCCTTCCCCGAGGCACCCAGCCTCCCCCAGCGGGCCGGTGACATGGGGCCAGTCACCCCACCTACTTTGGACGGAGTGGGCGCCCAGGAAACGTCAGCTTCCTGCCCGCAACCCGCCTTCATCTCGTGTTTCCCTCTTCTCTGTTCTCCCTCCGCTTTCGCTTTTTTTTTTTTTTAAATCCCTCCCTCCTGCGCCCTTTCTCTTCTTGGCTCCGCAATCTTAGCCAAACCGCAGCTTTTAGCAATACTGCGCGCCCACCCGGCGCCCAGGGAGCCTCGCCACGGCAGCGACCCACCCCGCGGCCAGACCGCCACCTTGCCCAGCCCACCCGGGGGCGCCCCCCGTCTCGACATCCCTCGCCCGCCCCCAGCCCACCCGGAGGCGCCCCCAGCCTCGACGTCCCTCGCCCACCCCCAGACCACCCGGGGGCGCCCCCTGCCTCGACGTCCCTCGCCCGCCCGCAGCCAGCGAAGGGTCGCGCCCTGCCCCGCTCCCGTCTGCCTGGCTTCGTCCTTCCTCTGGCTGCGGAGCCCCAACCCGTCCGCCAGCAGGGCCGCGAGGACAGGGTGAGGCAGGGCGCGCGGCCAGGGCCGTGCCCGGGTGGCCGAGGGCATCGGGCGGGGCGGCGGGCCCGGCCGCCAGGTCTGCGAGCGCCAGCCCGACCGCAGCCCGAGGGCAACGCTGCAAATAGCCGCGGTTTCCAGCCAGGGCCCGGCCTCCCTCCCGGCCTTCCGGACCTTTGGGATTTTCTCTCCCTTCTTCCCGCCGCCCTCTCCTCCTGCCTCCTCCCCCCTGTGCACCCACCACATCCTGTCCCACGCGGGATGGTTCCTGCGCTGGCGCGTGGGACGTGCAGCCAGGGCCAGGAGACCAGCACCGAGGTCCAGCGTTCCAGAGGTCTAATAATCACGAAAATTAAATTAGGATTAATTGAGTGCATACTATGCGCCAGGCACCGTGCTGAGCGCTTTAAGGGTGGGAATTCATGAAATCTTTACCAATACCGGATGAGGGTCGGTCAGCTCCAATTTGCAGATGGAGAAATTGAGGCTCAAAGAGACTCCTCAGGTCCTAAGGTCACCCTGTGTGGACCTGCAAATTGGGAAACCACCTCCCCGGCCCAGAGGCCCATGCTGTTACTCTCCTCCAGCCCTGTGCAGCTTGCCCTTGTGGGCTGAGGCCTCAGTGGGAGGTAGGAAGCGGCTGACTGGGGGTCCAGAATGCTGGTCTGCCACCAGTTCTCAATGTAACCTACAGCAAGCCCAACCTGCCTCAGTTTCCACATCTGTAAAATGAAAGGGATGAAAAGCAAAACTCAGTTCCCATAAGGAAGAGCTTAACAATGGAAAACCGAAAATGGAATGGGAAGCGTTAAGCATCCGGCCCTGGGAAAGTGCAGTGGGAGGCTGTGTGCCCGCCTCCTGGAGTGCTGAGACAAACCCAGACCACGGAGGGCTGGGTCAGAACTGGGCTGCCGGGGAATCTGCATTTTAGCAAATGGAGGGATTCTGAAGCCATCAGGTTTGGGATCCACCAAAAAGATTCCTGGAAGGGGGTGGAGGTGGTATGTGTGTGAGGCGGGTGTCCTCCCTCAAACCTCCACACTTGCCCTCATTCATTTCTGGCTTTGCTGGCCTGGACTCAGAGTGATGGCACATTTCTTAAGGACCTACTGTGGGCTACGCACATATATGACAGCCCCACCCTCAGAGAGCTCATGGCATAATCAACTACCATACGGCAGACTGGCAGGGCTGCCCTCAGCCCAGCTGGCCCCTTTGGAAGAAATGGAGCAAAGCATCTTCTTCCAGGGGTGCACAGCCTCACAGCAGGCTGTGTAGTTTAGTGAGCAGAACGAGAGCCGGGGTTCACCTCCACACTCCCCGTCGGCAGCCACCTCTTTGCAGGAGATAGCCTGCATGACCTCTCACCTCAGCCTCTGCAGAGCTGCAAGAGACATATGTGGGAGATTTTGGAAAAGCCAGGAAAGGGGCCAATTAATTCTTGCTGGAGACAGGAATAGAGACCAAAAAGCTCTACTGAGGAGGCGACCGTTAAGCTGGACCTTTATGGATGGGCGGGGGGTTGCCAGGTGGAAAGAGAAGTCCAGGCAGAGGCAACAGCCAAGGCCAAAGCATGGGGGCAGGAAGTCTCAGCCTGTTCTGGGAGCAGGTAGGGCAGTACGTCCATGGGCAGGGAGTGGCTGCGGGGCAGACTGGGAAGGAGGCGCACCCTTCCCTTGCTCCCATCTCTATGCTGGCACATACCTAACAGAATACAGCTTCTCTGCCAACCAGAGGTCTCCTCTCCTGGAGACTGGGAGATGCTGTAAGACATGGATGGCATCTTATTCATCTCACTCAGTGGCAATAATAGTAACCATAATCATAGTTAACGGGTATTAAATATTTAACATCACCTACTGTGCTAAGTGCTCCACAGGCATTACCTCATTTCATCCTCAAACAACTTTGGAAATAAGTGCCATTATTAATCCCGTTTTACAGATGAGGATTCTGGGGTTTAGCTGGGTAAAGTAATGCACCTAAGGTCACACAGCTATTTGGTGGTGGAGCTAGAGTTGGAATTCAAGTCTCTCTGACCACAAGGCCCTTGTTCTATACCAACAAATGGACAGACAGATGGATGGATGGGTGGGTGGATGGATGAGTGGGTGGAAGAGAGAGAGGAACTAAGCAAAGAAGGGCCTTGAATGCTGTGCTGGGGAGCTTGAACTTTATTCCAAGGATGGTGGGGAGACATCAAAAGGCTGTAAGCAAGGAGAAACAGGTCAGGTTGGGGCTTTAGAGAAATCAGTTTGACAACAGTGGGAAGAGAGTTTAGAGCCAATGACACTTGAGCAGGAAGCCATTCTTCTAGCAAATGCCAATTCCCACTTGTGAGAGCCTCATTTCTCTAAGCACTGTGCTATTTCTCTTAGGGCAAGAAGTATTTCTATGTACACATGGAGACTATTGACAGAGGGGAACACTGAGGAAGGGGGACTCAGTGACGGGAAAGAGAGACAAGTGGTAGAATGCTGGCTAAGCTCTGGGGAGGAGAGCCCCAGGAAGGGAGGAGCCATAGAGTCAGTCTGCCTCCCCATTTCCGAGATGACAAGGCCCCCTCGGCTCCCAGCCAGGGCACACACTGCCCCATTGTGCACCTGGCACCGGAAGGAATGCAGCCAAAAGTGAGGCGGGTGTTGCATCAGAGTGCTAAGCCCTGGGATCAAGTGCTGGCCGGCAGCAGTGAAGGAATACGCAGGGTACCCGGGAGGACAGAGAACGGTGGAGCTTCCCCCACCTACACGAGAGGAGCCCGAGAGAGGTCCGCCCTGCAGGAGGCAAGCGTCTTCAGGCTGAGAGGGGCTCCCCGAGGGTCCCAGGACACAGCAGAGCTCACCATGCTGCTCTCCCTCACCCTGCTTCTCCTGATGGGGCTGTCTACGTGCGCCGTGGCAGGTGATGAGGAGCTGACACTCAGCGCCGAAGCAGGGTCCTGGGTAACGGTGACCCTGGAGGTACTTTTGGGGAGAGGCTCTGCCCAGAGCAGGGGATGACCCGTGGTGGAGGGGGCAGAAGATCCCCTCCATGGCTGCCAGGAGAGCAGGTTGTACACTGCAAGGCAGGTTGTCTGATTCCCCTCGGTGCGTAGGTTCAAGGCCATGGCACTTGGCCTGGCTGACCTCCAAAGGGGCACCCGCACATGGGAGTCACAGTGTGTGTGTGCATGTGTGTGTTTTATTTAACAAACATTTAACACATGCTATGTTTCTGACACTGTCCTAAATGCTTTATAAATATTAACCCATTTAATCTTCATATCAACCTTATGGGAAAGGTACAATTATTATTCCCATTTCACAGATGAGGAAACTGAGGCACAGAGAAGTCAAGTAGTTTGTCCAAGGTTACACAGCTTTAAAAGCACAAGTGCACACCTTGCCCAAGGTCTGATTCTGTGTTTCTGTGCATCGAGGAGATTTTCCAGAATTTCCTTTCAAGGGGATCACCTTGGGGCAGGATCACTGTTTTATCACACATGTAGAAACTTTTGTTTCCTGACAAGTACTGGTTTGATTGCCGGCCTCTTCTACTAAACTGAGTGCTGTCACTGGGGAGAAATCTAAACTTTAGAGCACGGCATCTGTGCCCCACCCCATCTGATCAGGGAGAAAAGGATCCTGACCTCAGGGAGCTCCCAATCTGACAGGGGGCAGACAAACAGGACCAGTGACAAGGAAGGCCTGCAGGAGGGCAGACAGACAAGGCCGAGCCTGGCTCCTTCCGGTCCTGGGAGGTGAGGACACAGGAAGAGCCATCAGATGAATAGCCATTTGTGGCGAGTCTTCTTCCTGGTTTGTCTGAACATGGAAATGTGTGCAGTTGAGAAGACGGCAGGCTGGGGAGACCCAGGTTCAACTCTCTGCTTCTCCACTGACTCCATGTGACCTTGGGAAGATCACTGATGCTCCCTGGACATCAGTTTCCTCACCTGCAAAATGGGGGGAGAGGGAACATGATCCCCCGCGTTCTTTCAAGCTTTGAGATGCTTTACGGGGTCCGTGCCAAACTCAGGGGACCTGGCCCAGGCACAGGGAAGCCGAGCTGTGTGACGGGGAGCTTGCTACACAGCCACACGGGAAACATCATCAATTTCAACTAGAGCTGCGGCTGGGTCTAACGCTTATTCTCCTTTCACTCTCATTTAGCATCCCTCTGCTTCCCGAGACACAGGGCATGGAACACAGGAACCACTAACATGAGTGAGGTGATGGAAGGAATGGTGGCACTGTCAGGGATGATCTGATTACTGCCCCAGATCTCAGGGATCCCCACCTGCAGTCACCCCTGGAGCTGCGGACTTGGGGTCACTGGATAAGGAGGGCTTCAGGTTGGGGCAGGAGTCCTTCCTGAGTGAAAGGGAATGAAGTCTTCTAAGGGGCCCCCAGAAACCCAGTGGGTAGGAGAAAAGGTGAGTCTTATTTAATTTATAAATAACCGTTCTTTCTAGCTTGCATTTGAAAGCTACCTTTTACCAAGGCAAAGTGGTTTTCATGAGCTTTTCAGAAATAGGTCCAAATCTCCAAGGAGACTTTCTCGTTCCTGACCAGGCTGGGTGACTCCAGCCCGAGACAGCTGCCCTAGCCGTTGATCTCCTGGAGAGGAGACAGATTGGAAGTGACTGAATTAGTCCAAGGCTTAGAAAACAATCTACTCCTGATCCCAAAAGTTGGGACAAGACGGGCTATGAGAGGCAAAAGGGTTTCCACTGTACCCCAGCCAGGCCTCTGGAGCTCAGCACCGCCCCTGGGGAAACTGGGGATGGAAGGACAAACCCCTGATCCAACACCAGCTCCCAGCCTCCGGGCAGGCGGCTTGTGTTACTCTAGGACTCTGTGCGCCTGTCCTCAGTCTTCCTGGAAAAGGAGACCCCATCCTTTTCCCTATCCCCAGACTGCCAGAGCAAGGGCCTTCATTGAGCATATGTATCCCACACATGCTGAGCTCCTGTGTGTACCAGACGCTATGCCAGGCACAGAGATAGAGAGATGTGAAGACAGTCTAATGAATGTCACTTACCGTACTCTTCCCACGACACAGCCTCTCTCTCTTTCAGCAGAGCTGAGCAGGCCCTTCTTCAGGGGCTCCAGTTAAGGCCAGAGAGGAAGAGGACTCTGGCCAAAGTCACAGAGGCTAATGGAAGCATGAGTGCTTAGACCCACAGCCCTTGGTCCAGAACATGTTCCCATGGGAGGCCCAGGCTCTAGGGAAGGGTAAATCTGGGACAATGAGGGGAGTGTGGGGGAAGAGGAGTGAGACCAGAGTCAGAGTGGGGTTAGAGGAGTAGCTGTCCCACCTTGCCTGCTGGGTGCCCACCCTAAGTCCATTACCTGCCCCCTCCTTGTCTATGTTAGAGACATTTCCTAAGATGGAGCAGAGCCCATGCTCTGGAGTCAGACTTCCCGAGTTTGAATCTTGGCTCTCTTACTTCCTGTGTGACCTTGGACAAGTCATCTAACCTCCATAAGCCTCAGTTTCCCCACCTGGAAAATGATGATAAATCACAATCCCTACTTTACAAGGTGGTTGTGAAGAGTAAATGAGATCATGACGTAGTGTTTGAGCCTCTGAGCCAGATGACCTGGCTTCAGGTTCTGGCTCCATCTCTCACTTCCTAGCTGGTGAGCTCAGACAAATTATTTAATCTCTCTGTGCCTCAGTGTTTCATCTGTAAAATGGTGACAGTTACAGTATTTACTTCACAGGGTTTTGGTAATGATTAAATGAGTTAATATATTCATGTGCTTCGAACACTGCCAAGAACATCGTAGGTGAAATTTAGCTATTATTATTATGCGCAGTATTGTGTAAAATATGTAAAAGAACCCAGTACCACCACACGTGTTATTGAGATTGTTATTGCTCAGGCAGCCCTGTCTCCTTGCCAACCTCCCCCCAACTCTAACTCTAATGAACTCTCTGCTTCTTCAGGAAGGCGTCATTCCCAGCATTCAGCTCCAGCTTCAGGAGGTGAAGAGGGGCAAAGCCAGGCAGTTCTTTGGGCTGATGGGGAAGCGGGTGGGAGGTGAGTTCTTTGGGCTGATGGGGAGGCAGGCGGGCACCCAGCAATGAGTGGTTCTGAGTGGGTTCTGTTATAACAAGCAGGGGCCCTAGCTTAAAGCCCAGGATCCAGGGTCCATTACTCTAGTCTGGTATGGGTTGCCCACGCAATGGGATGGGGTAGTGCCCATATAGATTATCATCCAAACCAGTACACTCGGAGAGTGTTAATTACACCAGGCAACAGCTATAAACCAGGCTGTCTCTAGCATATGGAGAGTATGGTCACCCTAAAGGTGCTGGCCGGTGCTTTGCACCCTGGCTGGTGCCCTTGCCTTCAATACTATGGACAACTTTGAAGAGCAGTGGTGAAGCTAGAGATCAGCATCTAGATGTGAGCAAAGCCAGGGGCCAAGCTTTCTAGTGGACTCTGTTTGGCTCACATAGAATTATTACAATGAACCTCTGTTCCCTGAGGGCACTCTCAGTGCGGTAATCACGTCCTAGGGGTTCAAGGAGACAGAGCAGTTTGGGGCAGAGAACAGTGTTCTCTTTTCTTATTGTCAACATTACATATATTTTTAAGTGGTGTTGGTGAGGGTATGAAGAAACTGGTGCTTTAATACACTATTTAGAGGACATGTTGACAATATCCATCCCAGTTGGAAATACACATACCTTTTCACCAAGAGCCTCACTTCAGAGAATTTATCAAATAGAAATGCTATTGACACATAAGCCCTGAGACAGTTGGACCAGAGTGTTCATTGCCAACTTGCTTATAAAGGTAAGAATTTGGAAACAACATAGAAATATCAGTACAGAATGATCAAAATATATTAGACACATCCATAGACTTTGTGGCCATTAAGGATAAGGCAGATCTGTGGAAAGATATGGAAAGATTTCCAAGATATTGGTTAAGTGGAAAAAGCAACTTATAAACAATATGTATGATAGGAGCCTACTTGTTTAAAAGAAAACTATATACTTACACATATATATATGCAAATACATAGGGAAAATCCTGGAAGGATAAATATCAAACTGTCAACAGGGGTTACATTTAGAATAGGAAGTGGAAGTGAGGGAGGGAGAGTAAAGACAGACTTTAATTTTTACTGTACTTCTATATTACTTGATTCTTTTTATAGTGGGCATGTATTCAAGGACTGCTTTTGTAATTAAAAAAAAACAGAGAAAACCAACCTGTGACCAAACACTTTTGGCCTTAGTTTCCTCCTCCACAAAACAAGGTTTGGACTGGGCCATTGCAGAGCTTTCTTCCAAATCCAACAACCCATGAGAAGCAGGGATGTGGGTATAAGAGAAATATTTCTTGAGCACCTACTATGCTCTCATCTGATTAGATCTCACAACAACATCCCATTTATCACCAGTGGGGAAACGAAGGTTCAGATTTTAAAGTACTTAACGAAGGTTAACCTTCGTTAACCTCAGGTGCCAATCACCCCAAAGTCTGTGCACTTCCCACTACTCCACACCGCCTCCTACCAGGAGCAGCTGAGTGGCTCAGCCACATGAGGACAAAGGGGAGTGACTGGAGTTTCCCTGAAGACCCACAAAGGCACCAAATCCCAAAGAGCCTTGAGCCCTTCCCATCTCACCATGCCCCTGGGGAAAGCCATACGGTCCTCATTCCTTCTTTCCTTCCCCCAGGAGTACCTCCCATCCAGCCAGAGAGAAGAACGGGTAAGTGTTGTTCAGACCTTCCCCTCAGCATGCTCCCTGGGGAGTACTGAGTTGTCTTGGCCACTAACAAGTCAGGGAAGTGAGAAAAGATGTGGTGTCCAGGGGCACACCAGGCTGGCATTGCAGAGGGTGGGGCCAGTGTGGTTTGGCCACATGCCAGGCTTCCGGGTTGTTGCCTGAGGGCAGTGGTCTATGATGCCCAGGGAGTAGCTGCAGAGATAAGGAGGAAATGGGGATGAATCTGCTTCTGCCAAAGGTTCAAGATTACCTCAGGTCTAAAGCATGGTTTGAGAAAAACTAATCAATCTATTTCCCACACTGCATCTGAAAAGATCTTTTTAAGGTTTGCTTTGTAGTCAGGAAGATTGGCCCTGAGCTAACATCTGTTGCCAACCTTTTTTTTTCACCCCAAAGCCCCAGTACGTAGTTGTATATCCTAGTTGTAGGTCCTTCTACTGCTTCTATGTGGGAAGCCACCTCAGCATGGCTTCATGAGCCGTGTGTAGGTCTGTGCCCAGGATCCAAACCGGCTAACCCTGGGCCACCAAAGCAGAGCGCGTGAACTTAACCACTATGCCACCGGCCCAACCCATGGAAGGATCTTAAAAGTGCAAATCTGAGTAGCCAGTACCTTGCCCAAAATCTTTCAGTGAAAAGATAAAATCAAAACAAACAACCTTTACCCACCACCCTTCAGTGCCCTCAGGATCAAGTCCAATGCCTGAACGCGACTCCAGCATCCTCTGGGGCTGCTCTTGCTGACTTGGCTCCCAGCCCCATCTCTCCTTCCCTGCCTGCCTGCCTTACCCAGATGGAGCTCGTCTCCATGGCCTGGGCACAATGCTGTCCTTGGCATATTGCACTGCACTGTACTCCTGGGTCACACAGCTGGTGTCCCTAGACTGGAAACTCCTCATGAGCAGGTACTAGGTCTGCCATCTCCTTTGTATCCCCAACTCCCAGCAGTTTCTATTAGAGGTACCCACTATGTGTTCATGAAAGCAAGGGCAGAAGGGAAGGAGAATGGAGGAGAAAGAGGAAGGAATCAATGAATGAATCAGTGAACGAATGAACCAATCCATAGTTTTTCCTCAACTCCCAAGATGATCAAGAAACGACTCCATTTACAACGCCCCAGCTCCGGCCCTGTCCCTGCCCTTCCTGTTCCCAAAGCAGCCTTCCTCTGCTGCACTCTGTCTTTCTTCTCTGTCTCTTCTCTCTCCATCACCAGGGAATCAGCGAGGACAAGTGGTCCCAGACCTCCTGGGCAAGGGAAGACCATCTACAGAAGGTAAGTGAGAGCCTCTAGTGGATTGCAAGGTATCATGGGAAAGGGGCCAGATACTTTGCTGCCAGTCTCCATAGTGGGGGCCATGCAGCTGGACAGACAGAACAGGCTCCCCACAAGCCATTAGGCAGAGGCCACAGAGAAGAGAGCAGTTGAGGGGCAGGGAAGTGGTCCCTCTGATGATCCAGGAGGGGCCAGCTGACGCCACAGAGAATGGTGTGTAGTTTTTCCGACCATGGCACATACTCCTTATTCCCTCACTAATCACTGATTGTTAAGAGAGTCATGCCTTTAGTCTTAAGATGTTTTCTGTCTTTAATAACTGTAAATAAGTGCAAATCACCCAGGTGAGTAATAACCTAAGCAGGTATCAGCTAACACCTTCTGGCAGGGGCCACAACCCCAAGAAGGCCCAACTATATGCTCAATAAATGGATGAACAGGCATGAAAGTAGATAAGTGAATCAGGCTGAGGGAAAGATCAATAGCTCAAGCCACCCAGCACATGAGGAAGGGTAGGGGGCGTCCCAGCTGGAAAGATGCTGAGCTCCAGTTTGCCTTCCCTAGTGCCTGACCTCTCCCCCAAGAGCTGCAGACTTCTGGACCCCTCTCTAGCTTCCCTGATGAACACCTGCTCCTTCCAACACAGGCTCTTCCCATAAAGATGGGAAAGTCCTCTATTTTCCCCCGAGATTTTTTCTAAGTGTCTGAGCCATTCCATTCAAAGGGCCATCAAAGTCACCCTAATACAAAATAGAAATGAATGCCCTCCGTGCAGTGTGGGCGGGAATCTTAAAGTCATCATTTTTCAGGGATGGAACACACCTTGCCCAAAGTCACGCAGTGAGCTAATAACAGAGCCAAGACTAAAAGCTGTGCCTACTGTTTCCCAATCCACGGCACTTTCCACGTCCCCAGGAGGGCATTTGGGATTGTGAATACAGGATTACCACTTCCCTTCCTTTAGAGAGGAAAACAGGGTTGGCTCGTTCCTGCTCTGGAGGCATTGACGATTGAGTAACAGCAGATACAGCACATGAACCTTCAATTTGATTGCCCAAGATATCTATAGCCGGAGAAACATGACTTAGGGACCTGGAGGGCCTCGGGAACAGTGACTAGGGAGGGCCTCCATGGGTGGAGGAGACAGACAAGACTCCCCTAACCACCGTCCAGGTACAGAACTCTTCCCAGGAAGAGAGGACGAGGACCACGGGTCAGAGTGAGAGCCCCTACCGCACATTTCCCAGTGGATGAAACCCCCTTTCTCCCTACCTGGACATTACAGCCGACCAGCCAGCCAGGCCAACCCTCTTCTCCGTGTTTCCTGTGCGTCCAACCTGGCCCTCTGAACTCACTGGGGTTCCCTCCAGGACTCTCAGTCTCAAGCAACGGTTGTGCATAAATATACTGTTCTCACAGTCGCAAACTGGAGTGATCTCTCCCTCAGCACTCAGAGCTCGCCTTTGACTACAGAGCAGGGTTGTCTCTCACCCAGTTCTTTGTCTTCTGTGCCCAGAACACAGTAGGGGCTCAATAAATGAATGAACAGTGAATGGCTTCTTCTCTGGTACAAGGCAGAGGGCAAGAATGTGGCCTGGCATGTCAGCAGGCCAGGAGGCCTTTTCCAGAATTGCAAAGGGAAATACTAAACAGCCTGGTCTCCACTCTCAGGTGGGAAAACAGGCTTGGGACACAGGTAAGGACAACAGCCCAGCCTGAAAACACTCTCCCTACCCGCAGCCAGGATCTCAAGGACCCAAACCCAGTGTCTTCTGACATGGAGAAGAATCGGGTCCCAAGCCCTTCATCAATTCTCATGTATAAGGCGGCCCTTCGATTAACGGCTTTGCTTCTGGGACACAGGTGTCAGTCACTCCCTAAGCACCACTCGCCCTGAGCACCCACAGGAGCTGTTCCCACCCTCAGGGAGCCCAGTCTGATAGGGAGGCCACCGTCCCTGCCCCAGGGGTTTATGGGCAGGCAGGACACAGAGGCCCCCCAGATGCTTAGAAAGAGGCACATCAGCCAGAATGAAACTAGAGGGCAAACTTAGGTAAGAAGCATCGAGGTGCTGAACAAAGGACTGAGTTGGGAGGTGTGTGGGTTCATTAATTCACTAGGCTACAGAACATGTAGCTTCCCTGCGCCCCTCTCCAAAAAGAAGGAAACGCCTTCTAAGTTTTTTGGGGCAACTGATTCTTGGGGGCAGGGAGTGGCTAAGCTGTTTAAAAGGAGGGGAAGAAGGCATGGGTGGAGAGGGCAGACCCTTCATCTGGGTGCTGCGGAGTTTTAGCAGAGGCCTCTAAGGAGAGGCCAAATAGTGTCAGCACAACCAGCAAGGTTCTTCTATTCGACCTGTAGTGCAGGTCTCTGTCCTAAGGCTGACGGTTCATCCTGAGCCCTGAATAAACCTCAAGCCTCTCTTCTCCATGCTCACCCCTTACCCATGCCTAGTGAGAAACACGGGGGTGGGAGACGGTACAACTCTTCGCCACTACCACAGAATTTCCCAGTTAGCGTATTTCTCATTCCATCCACTCCTAACCTCTAACCCATTAGCATGCCCATTGTCTTCCCCACCTCACCGCACCCAGTGCTGTGATCTCAAGAGGTGGTTCACTGTAATAATCCAACTTGAAGGATCAGCAGAGGATTGAAGATTTTATTCTTGTGTTTGAAGTTTGGGACACTTAAGAAAAACTGAAGTCAGGGGCCGGCCCGGTGGCACAGCAATTAAGTGCACGTTCTGCTTCAGCGGCCTGGGGTTCGCCAGTTCAGATCCCGGGTGCGGACATGGCACCACTTGGCACACCATGCTGGGTAGGCGTCCCACATATAAAGAAGAGGAAGATGAGCACAGATGTTAGCTCAGGGCCAGTCTTCCTCAGCAAAAAGAGGGGGATTGGTGGCAGTTAGCTCAGGGGTAATCTTCCTCAAAATAAATAAATAAGTAAATAAGAAAAACTGAAGTCACCAAATATTTCATGAGTTTCCTCTATGTGCTGGCACTTCACTAGGAACTCAGATGGGACTGGGTGTATGAAAGCACGAGACTGGAATTTGTCCTGGAAGACCTAAGGACCTTAGAGGGGAGTCAAAATGTCCTTGCTCTGCGCAAAAGCCACACCCTGCTCTCCAATGATCCTTTTCAAACCCAGCATGTTCACTCAACCTTCTGGTTTTTGCACATGCCATTTTCTTCCTGTTCTGGTGAATTCTTACTCAGAGGGTCAATGTCTCTAAAGCTTTCCCAATCCGGCACCCGCCCATTCGTTCCCTCCTCCAAGTTCCCAGAGCACCTTGCACATTCTTCCATTACAGCACTTAATAGATGTTGTTATAATAGTTTATTTCCTCAACTTGAGAAACAGGGTTTCTAAAGTACGTGGACCTCATTTATCTTTACCCCAGTGCCAACGATAGTGCTCAGCACACAAGAGGTCTTTGGAGAGTTTTGACGGACTCACACTTCCTGTCCTCAGGGAGTCTCTCTCTAGAGAGCCATGAAGGAACCAAACTTAAATACAAGTAACTGAAATAATAGCAGCTACCACTCATTGAACACATATCCTGTATTTCTCAACTCGGCATGTCCAAACACTGAGCTCTTGACCTACTGCCCCAAAGCTATTCTTCACCATCATCAGCATCTCCACAAATGGCACCTCCACGCATCCAGCTGCCCAACCAGAAATCTGGAGTTACCCTCTAGTCCTTGCTCCTCACATCAAATATATCACCTGGTTTGTTGGTTCTCCCCAAATCTATCTCAAATTCATCTTCTTTCCACCTTCACTACCACTGTTAATACCAGCCACTGTCTTCCCTTGCCTGGAGGGCAGTTTCCTGAAGGCTTCCTTGATTCCCATCTTACTGCCAGACCAGCCCCATCCATTCTCTTCCCTGAGAATGACCCTTTAAAACGGGCAATCAGATCATGTCCATGCCCTACTGGCCACAGTTTGGTTTCCTACGATACACTGACATTGCTGTTGAGGCCTCCAAGGCCCTGTACTTTCTGGTCCCCCTACCTCCTCACCAGGCTTTGTCTTAGTCCGTCATGCACACCAAGTGCTTGCCTTCCTCGGGGTCTGTTCTCAGGCTCTTCCCTATCTAAACACTGCCCCAGCCCCTCCACTCCTCCCTTGGCCAACTCCTCACCATTCACGTTCCAGAATAAAGGTCCTTCCTCAGACACGGCTTCCTCAAAAACCAAGCTCAACTAGTTCTCTCCAGTTATGCTTACACACCTTGTCCTTTTCCATCCATAGTATTGCTCACAATTAGAAATCATATGCATTTAATACATCTCTTTCAGGAGACTGCAAGTTCCACATCTTTTATGTACAAACTATTTGTGTATGTATCAGCATTCTGCATGGCAACTTACCTTCACAATTATCCTCATTCTGCAGATGAGGATAGGCCACATGCTTGAAGTTACACAATGGCAGAGCCAGGATTTGAGCCAAGGTGTCTTCACTCCAAACACACTCAACCTCTACACTTACTTGGTCTATGCTATAGTCACACAGATAAATCTCAGGTGGAATTATGAAAACTTCAAGAGGAATTCCTTTTTAGCTGGGCCGTTTCAACAGGCAGGAAAGAAACTTCCAAATGGCCCCACCCAGCCCCGCGGCATTTCTGTCTCTCGAGGCTCCTTCCAGATGAAATCATTTTAGGAAGTGTTACATTCTGTGTCTCCCTCATGGGAAAATCCCAGGAGGGAGGTTTTGAGAAGCCCTGAAGTCAAGAAATACACTGAGTGTTCACTTTAACTCAGTATTTTCCAAGTTTGACTACAGTACCCTTTCGATCCACACTACTTTGTGTTTAACGGGACACACTTCGAGGAATGTTTAAGTGGAGGCTTTCCCAGTAAAAACAGGAAAAGAAATAGAGACCAATCCAGCTGCATGTTGAAGCTGTGTGGGGGAATGATGAAAGCTATGTAGGCTGAGTTAGCTTACGGAAAGACTTGAAAGCCAGGATAAACGTGAACTTAATGCAATCAGAAAACAGAAGCCACATGAATTCTTGAGCAGGGAAGTGATGGGCCTCAGTCTTGACAGTAGGAGACTCTCCGCTTTCCCTAATCCACTCCCATAAGGAGGTGGCTAAGAATGCCAAGGCCAGGCAGGGACCTCAGAACCAATTTGACTGACAGCTGAGCCAAGCTGAATGACCAAACAGGTGACCAACTGGCTCTGAGGGTGCCATTACGTATTATACGAATACTGCCCCCTGGAGTTACACAAGGTGGTGGCCCTCCCATGGGCACACCTGGCTTTCCATCACAGGCAATAACTGATGGGACCTACAAGGCCAAACTGAATTCTAGACCTTGAGTTTCAAAGTTCTTGTTTCACTTGCCCATTGCTGTGTATCAAACAACCCCAAAACAATTAATGGCTGAAAACAGTATTTTTCATGATTCTCTAGGCTGGCAGGATACCCACCCCTCACTATTCAGTTTAGCTCAAGATTCTGGTTTGGAAACATGCCAGCTGGTTTCCAAGAGCAAAAGTGGAAGCTGCCAGAATATCACTTCTGCTACATCCAATTAGTCAAAACAAAAGTCCAGTCCACACTTAAGGGAAAAATAGATCTCTTATTGGAAAGAGCAGCACACACATCCAGGGCTGGGAGAAACTGTTGGTGGCCATCCCTGATGACCCACCACACCTCTTTTTCTGTGAGGTAATAATGGAGTTTCTAATAACCTGGAATATAGTAAATACAAGGTGAGTTGTTTCCAGAAACAAATACCCGGTTAAGAAGACAGAGGGGTTTCTTGGAATGAACAGGAGTTCAAGAATAAAGGTGTTTACATCTCACATAGAACATCTGGGAGGAGCAATGGAGCCAAAGTCGTGCAACAGCACAGGTTATTTTCTCCACTCTTGGGCACAAACCAACCCCTAAACCCCAAAATGGCAGCAGCATGACCTGCATCTCCAGGTGTTGCACAAGACAGAGGATACACACCGATATTTCAGCGCCAGGGACATCTTTCACCACTGGACCGTCTTTTGCTCCCTGCTTAGTGACATTCATTGGCATTTTGCTGAAGACACCACAAAGGAAGTGGGCAATTATACTGCCCCCATCAGCAGGAAATAGTCTGGAAGAGGCAGTCATACAAGTTTGTAGCCAAAAGTACTGGCACAAAACCAGTGGAGATCCAATTCTTAATTCCATGGTCCCAATGAATAGCAAGAGATAGCTTCTAGAATTTCTGGCAAGATATTATTTAGCAAGGGAGTTTTCACTTTATTCTCAAAATATGCAAAGCCCTGCACAGCATTTTGTATATATATGTACCTGTGGGGCCACAGTGGGCCAGGCCTTCTCCTTCAGTTGTCATTGACCTCACTTATGGAAGCTGTTATCTGAACCTG